AAGGGGCAAAATAGGTTGTTTGTTTGTTTGTTTGTTTGTTTGTTTGTTTTAAGATGGGGTTTCACCATGTTGGTCAGGCTGGTCTTGAACTCCTGACCTCAGGTGATCCGCCCGCCTTGGCCTCCAAAGTGCTTGGATTATAGGCGTGAGCCACCATGCCCTGGCCGCAAAATAGGTCTTTAAAATCAAACTGCAGTGAAAATATGTGGGCTTACTAATTCACAAACACTCTTTTTTTTTTTTTTTTAAAAGACATTTATCCAGCATCACGATCAGACTATTACATTTAGCAATCAACAGCATGGATGCCAAAAAAAAAAAGAAAAAGAAAAAGAAAAAAATCTACATTAAAACCCTTTGTTGGAATGCTTTACACTTTCCATAGAACAGAAACTAAAATAACCTGTTATACAATTAGTCACAAATACAGTCCTCGAGTTTTTTGCCCATACACGTGAGTATTTGTCTAAATCACATCTTCTTTGTAGCAGCTAGGCCCTGCCACCACTGTGCTTGGCTGAGTTCACAAATCTGTTGTAACCTGTAGCTTCCCTGTCACTTCTCCGGCTCTCCTCTCCTGCTAAGCTTTGTTTCCTAATTAAAATCTTCTGCCACTGCCATAGCCACTGCTGCTACTGGAACCGCCATAGCCACCTTGGTTTCGTGGTTTGGCAAAGTATTGGCCGCCACCACCACAGGGGCCAGAGCTTCTGCCTCCAAAGTTTCCTCCCTTCATGGGTCCAAAATTTGAAGACTGATTGTTGTAACTGCCAAAATCATTGTAGCTTCCACCACCTCCAAAATTGCCTCCATCATTACCAAATCCATTATAGCCATCCCCACTGCCACCATATCCACCACCACCATGGCTGCCACCAAAGCCACCACGACCACTGAAGTTTCCTCCACGACCAAAGTTGTCATTCTCACCGAAACCACCTCTACGACCACCACCAAAGTTTCCAGAACCACTTCGACCTCTTTGGCTGGATGAAGCACTAGCCATCTCTTGCTTTGACAGGGCTTTCCTAACTTCACAGTTGTGGCCATTCACAGTATGGTATTTCTGAATGACAGTCTTATCCACGGAGTCATGGTCATCAAAGGTTACAAAGACAAAGCCCCTTTTCTTGCCACTGCCTCTGTCAGTCATGATTTCAATCACTTCAATTTTTCCATACTGTTCAAAATAATCTCTTAGGTGATGTTCTTCAGTGTCTTCTTTTTTTTTTTTTTTTTTGAGACAGAGTTTCACTCTTGTTACCCAGGCTGGAGTGCAATGGCGCGATCTCGGCTCACCGCAACCTCCGCCTCCTGGGTTCAGGCAATTCTCCTGCCTCAGCCTCCTGAGTAGCTGGGATTACAGGCATGCACCACCATGCCCAGCTAATGTTTTGTATTTTTAGTAGAGATGGGGTTTCACCATATTGACCAGGATGGTCTCGATCTCTTGACCTTGTGATCCACCCTCCTCGGCCTCCCAAAGTGCTGGGATTACAGGCTTGAGCCACCACTCCCGGCCCAGTGTCTTCTTTAATGCCACCAACGAATATTTTTTTCACAGTTAAGTGGGCACCTGGTCTTTGAGAAACTTCTCTTGAGACAGCTCTCTTTGGTTCCACAACTCTTCCATCCACTTTGTGTGGCCTTGCATTCATGGCTGCATCCACCTCCTCCACAGTTGCATACGTGACGAACCCAAAGCCCCTGGAGCGCTTGGTGTTTGGATCTCTCATTACCACACAGTCTGTGAGCATTCCCCATTGCTCAAAATAGCTCCTCAGGCTCTCATCGGTTGTTTCAAAGCTCAGCCCTCCAATGAAGAGCTTCCTCAGCTGTTCTGGCTCTTTAGGAGACTCTGACTTAGACATGATCGCAGGGAGAATAGAGACTTTAATGATGCTTCTTCGGCGGCGTCCAGGGGCAGAAAGGCCACTCATTTATTTTTAAGTCAATTTGGTGGTACCAAGTAGATACAACAGATACTGATATGTTCATGTATGTAAACACATCTAGATACATATAAATAAAGATCTTATAGCTTTCAAAATTTTGATCCCTCATTAGATGGCCTATTGGAGCAAATAAAGTTTAGCCATAAAAGCAAGTCCTAATTTTATTAAAAAAAAAAAAATCTGGCCGGGCGCGGTGGCTCAAGCCTGTAATCCCAGCACTTTGGGAGGCCGAGGCGGGTGGATCACGAGGTCGAGAGATCGAGACCATCCTGGTCAACATGGTGAAACCCCGTCTCTACTAAAAATACAAAAAAAATTAGCTGGGCATGGTGGCTCGTGCCTGTAATCCCAGCTACTCAGGAGGCTGAGGCAGGAGAATTGCCTGAACCCAGGAGGCGGAGGTTGCGGTGAGCCGAGATCGTGCCATTGCACTCCAGCCTGGGTAACAAGAGCGAAACTCCGACTCAAAAAAAAAAAAAAAAAAAAAAAAAAAAAAAAAAAAAAAAATCTGGATCCAACTGTCTTTTATAAATCAGTGAGTTTGTATCACCATTTCATGACTAAAATTCTAAAGTGAATGCTATACACTCTTTATTTGTATGTGTGTATGTGTCTAGATGTGTTTACATATATGTACATATCAGTATCTATTTTGTCTACTTGGTACCACCAAATTGACTTACAAATAAATGAGTGTTCCTAAATTAGTAAATCCAAATATTTTCCATTCTCATGCTACTGAAGTAAATATTTAATAAATAAGCTGGGTTTAAAATTGTTGATAAAATGAAGACATTTCAGAATTGAAATGTCTTCAGAATTGTCAGCATACATTTTTGCCTGAGTTTACTGGTTTAACAGTTTTATATTTGCCTTTGCTAGATATCTTAAGGTGTCGGAGTTTGGCACAAAGTTTATAAAACTATAAATCCAGCCCAAAATATAATGATTTTTGTTTGTGTGACTTTTTGATAATCAAGTAGAATTTAATATTATTATTTAATGAAAACAGCTGAATCTTCTGAGTTATTGCCAAAGTACCCACATATTTAACTTTAAAATTCTTACTTAGGTAAATACCTGATAGTCACAGGCTATAAAAGTGGTCAACCAGAAAATAACTTAAAATGATGACTAGTTTTGTCTAGTATCCCAGTTGCCATAAAAAATCTAGGTAAATTTTTTAAAATTAAGTAAAAGTAAAAAAAACAGCCACAAATGTCTATACATAAACTTATGCAATTTAAAATCATAAAGTTATACTAAATTAAATAATAGGGCTGGGTGCAGTGGCTCACAACGATAATCCCAGCACTTTGGGAGACTGAGGTAGGAGGAGTGCTTGAGCCCAGGGGGTAAAGACTGCAGTGCCATGATAGTGCCACTGTGCTATCCCATCTACCCACTAGCTTGGGTAACAGAGTGAGACTCTGTCTCTTAAAACAAAACAAAACAAAACAAAACAAAACAAAACAAAACACCAAAAAAGCAAGAAAAAATAAATTCAATGATCCTAACCCTTGCCTTTTCCTGTACATAAAATAACATTTGACAAAATTAATGATTATTCCTCTGTACTCTATTACCAGCTATACTCTCAGACCAAAACTTTGAGAAGAGTTTTCTCTAATGTAACTTCTGAGCACATATGATGCAACTTCTGAGTACATGAAAAATCTTTACAACCTGTATGTAGGCTGTGGGCTGAAACATGGCTTTGGGGCAGTCTGATAGAAACTCTCTACAAGATTCCTCCTGGTTTATAATCTTCAATAAGACTGAATAAAATGAACTTTAATGCTTTAACCATTTGATGTTTTGTAATTGACAGGCCAGGATTATAGGTGACTTTGGGATCTTTGATATGTCTCCCAGGTAGGAGGTTAGGGGATACAGAATGTGCACTGAATACTATTTGTTGATCTACCCTTAATAAACTAAACAAGGCTGCTGCTGACCTCTGCAAAGGCAGTTTGAGTGGACAATGGGGTTAGAAGCCAGAGACTGACATTCACAAATATTTTTGTGAGCCAACTTATTGAGCACTAAATTGGGACTCAAGTTAAATTTACTCCCATTAAATTGGAGGCACAGGCCAGGCGCAGTGGCTCACCCCTGTAAGCCCAGCACTTTGGGAGGCCGAGGCGGGTAGATCATTTGGGCTCAGGAGTTTGAGACCAGCCTGGCCAACATGGTGAAACCCCACCTCTACTAAAAATACAAAAAAAAAAAAAAAAAATTAGCTGGGCGTGGTGGCACATGCCTGTAATCCCAGCTACTCGAGAGGCTGAGACAGGAGAATCACTTGAACTCGGAGGTGGTGGTTGCAGTGAGCCAAGATGGAGCCACTGCACTCCAGCAAGGGAGACACAGCAAGACTTCGTCTCAAAAAAAAAAAAAAAAAAAAAAATGTGAGGCACAAATGGGTGGTGAGGCAGTGAAGTTCCGTGAATATACACAACGCTCAAGGGACTCATGAAATGTCATTTCATTTAAAAAATGAAATTGAGCATATGTGCAAACAAGGTTCACATACCCTTTAATTTTCACATTGCCGGGCGCGGTGGCTCAAGCCTGTAATCCCAGCACTTTGGGAGGCCGAGGCGGGTGGATCACAAGGTCAAGAGATCGAGACCATCCTTGTCAACATGGTGAAACCCCGTCTCTACTAAAAATACAAAAAATTAGCTGGTCATGGTGGCGCGTGCCTGTAATCCCAGCTACTCAGGAGGCTGAGGCAGGAGAATTGCCTGAACCCAGGAGGCGGGGGTTGCGGTGAGCCGAGATCGCGCCATTGCACTCCAGCCTGGGTAACAAGAGCGAAACTCCGTCTCAAAAAAAAAAAAAAAAAAAAAAAAAATTTTCACATCACCACGAGGTAGTCACTACTATTATCCCAATTTTACAAGATTAAAACACTAACGCTGGGAGGTTGACAGAGTTACCCCAAATCACACTAAGGAGCTGGGCTCCCCACCCCCGCTCAAGTCTCCCTGTCCCCAGGCATCGCGGACGGTAGCAGCAGCCCCTCGGGCCTGTAGGTGGAGCACCTGGCGAAGGCTTAGCCCGCCGCCGGAACTGCGAGCTTTCAGCAGGAGCCCAGACGGTGCCGGCCCGAGAAACACCTTCCCTCCAATCTACAGCCCGGATGCTGCGCGTCCTGTGCCTCCTGCGCCCCTGGAGGCCCCTTTGGGCCCGCGGCTGCGCTTCCGAAGGGGCGGCCGGGGGCGCCGAGATCCAAGTGCGCGCCCTGGCGGGTTCCGACCAAGGTAAATGCGCTGGCCAGAGGAGCGCCCGGGACGCGGCTGGGACGAGGCCGGGGCCGAAGGCAACCGGGGGCGGGCAGAACGGCCGCTCAGGGCGTTGGAAGATTCGATCCCCAGTCCCTCCCTCCCAGTTCTAGGTGCCCCAACCTGCCCCAGGGCGGAGAGGTGGGCGGCCGCCGCAGTGGCTGGGGGCCTCTGGCAACCTCAGTCTCCTCAAAGGCCCTTTGGGGGTCCTCCTACTGCGTGGAAGGGGAGAGGGGTCTGCAAGGGTAGGACTGGGCCCTGCGTCTCCCCCACCACCGCCAGGAACGTTCAAGTGCTCGTTCCCTCCCCCGCCTTGGGTCGTGGCCCCGTTTGGGGGCGGAGGCAGCAGAACCAATCCCTCGGGGCGTGCGGCGACAGCTGGGAGCCCAGCACGGCGGGCGGAGCGAGTAGGGTGCCGCTCCAGCCTTGCGCCTGCCCTGGGCTGCTCGCGAACTTTTGCGTCCTTCTGGCTCCAGGGGAAAGTTCGCTGCTTCTCTGCCTTTTGGCCAAGATCGAGGATAGTGTGGAGGGGGAAGTTCGCGGGTCACTGGCGTTCCTCCAATCGCGTGTTGCGTTTTTGTTGTTGTTTGGACTTCAGGATCATTCGATGGTGCTAATAACGCTCCTCAGTCCTCTGCTCCTAACCGTCAGGGCTAGGCGCTTCTCCTGCCTTGAGTCTCCTCCCCCATCTCATCCCCTGTCCCCTGCGTTTGATACACAGATGACATTGTACTGTACATTTCATTGTATTGCTTCGTTTTTACCCCTTGACACTAAGTTTGAAGAGGGGCTTTGCCATAAAATCCAGTTCCTTGCTCCCTGTTGCTGCCCACTATTCCCAAGTGTGCATTTACCACCCTCAGTGGACACGGACAGGCCACCTGGTATCTCACAGCAATTATTAAGAATTACCTTAGGAATTAATTAGTGAGAATTACCTTGACCAGGTGGGATTGCTAGACCTTATACCCCATGCTTAGTTCACTACCCAACTGACAGCAGCTCTTACCTTAAGATAGTCAAGATTATTTTCCCCACTTTACAGAGTAAAAAACGGAGGCACAAAAGCTTAAGTTATTTGAACCAGGTCTGATTTCAAGGCCTGTGTTCTCAACCATTAGGTAATCACTAGTAATTCTAGTCATTAATCACTTCTAGTATTTCTAGTAATTACTTGTAATTCAGTGATGCAAAACACAGACTTGTACATCTGTAAATACAAAATTATCATGGGTTAAAGACCTTTAGGCTCACTTGCAAATATTGGGAATAATTTTTATCCAAAAAAGAATGACAACGATCAGCAGATTAAGCCTCTGCCCCTGCCAGAGGGCACAAAGGGCAGGGAAAGTCAGTGAGAGAAGGAGAGACAGAAACCAAGGTGACAGTGTGGAGGAGCCATGGGGACAAGATCACACACAGAGGCCTCACAGGGAATGAGTTGGGGTCATTTGATGTCCATGTTGGAAGCTGCGGGTTCTGCGGTCCACTGGGGCTGGTGGCACCAAAGCACTGTTACATTTTACCTGCTGCCCTTGAGCTTGAGGTTGGCTGCTTAACTCTTCACTGCTCTTCAGCAGCTTTATTTCTCATACAGTCATGTGTTGCTTTACAACAGGGCTACATTCTGAGAAATGCATCATTAGGCGATTGTGATTATTGTGGGAGCATCACAGTGTGTACCTACACAATCCTAGATGGGATATCCTTCTGCACACTGAGGCTATGTGGGGTATAGCCTGTTGCTCCTAGCATACAAACCTGGTCAGCACGGTACTGGGCTGAATACTATAGGCAGCTGTAACACAATGGTTAAGTATTTGTGCATCAGAAAAAGCACAGTAAAAATACAGTCTAAAAGATTTAAGATTTTTTAAGCAGTTTACCTGTATTGGACAATTACCATAACTGGAGCTTGCAGAAGCCCTAGGACAGCAGTGCTGGTTTGGCACCAGGAACTGGTTTCATGGAAGACAGTTTTTCCATGGACTTGCGGGGGTGGTAGGGAGCAGATGCTTTGGGGATGAAACTGTTTCACCTCAGATCATCAGGCATTATATTCTCATAAGGAGCTTGTAGCAACCTAGATCCCTCACAGGCACAGTTCACAATAGCATTCGCACTCCTAAGAGACTCTAATGCCACCACTCATCTGAAGCAGGTGGAACTCAGGCAGCAATTCAAGCCATAGGGAGCTGCTGTCAATACAGATGAAGCTGCTTACCTCCTGTTGTGTGGCCCAGTTCCTAGCAGGCCACAGACTGGGATGGGTCCACAACCCGGGGGTTTGGGACCCCTGACCTAGGACTTACTGTACACTACTGCAGACTTTATAACACTGTACACCTAGGCTACACTAAATTCACTTTAAAAGTGTTTCTTTCGGCCGGGCGCGGTGGCTCAAGCCTGTAATCCCAGCACTTTGGGAGGCCGAGGCGGGTGGATTACAAGGTCAAGAGATCGAGACCATCCTGGTCAACCTGGTGAAACCCCGTCTCTACTAAAAATACAAAAAAAATTAGCTGGGCATGGTGGTGCATGCCTGTAATCCCAGCTACTCAGGAGGCTGAGGCAGGAGAATTGCCTGAACCCAGGAGGCGGAGGTTGCGGTGAGCTGAGATCGCGCCATTGCACTCCAGCCTGGGTAACAAGAGCGAAACTCCGTCTCAAAAAAAAAAAAAAAAAAAAAAAAAGTGTTTCTTTCTTCAATAATAAATTAATCTTAGCTTACTGTTTTTACTTTATAAACTTTTTAATTTTTTCAACATTTTGACTCTTGTATTAACCCTCTTAGCTTAAAACACAAACACATTGTACAGCTGTACAAAAAATATTTTCTTTCTTTAGATCCTTATTTTATAAGCTTTTTAAAATTTTAATTCTTAAACTTTCTTTGTTAAAAACTAAGACACGTTAGCTGGGCATGGTGGCGCATGCCTGGGGCTGATGGCAGCAGAGCACTATTGCATTTTACCTGCTGCCTAGCCTCAGGAGGCTGAGGCAGGAGAATTGCCTGAACCCAGGAGGCGAGATCGCACCATTGCACTCCAGCCTGGGTAACAAGAGCGAAACTCTGTCTCAAAAAAAAAAAAAACTAAGACACAAGCACACACATGAGCTTAGGCCTATCACTGCCTTCCACCTCCACATCTTGTTCCACTGGAAGGTCTTCAGGACAATAACATGCAATGGAGCTGTCATCCCCTGAAATAACAATCAGCAACACCTACTGAAGGACCTGCCTGAGGCTGTGTTACACTGAACGTTTTTTCTTTTTTCTTTTTTTTATTTATTTATTATTATTATTTTTTAATTGAGATGGAGTTTCGCCCTTGTTACCCAGGCTGGAGTGCAATGGCCTGATCTCAGCTCACCGCAACCTCCGCCTCCCGGGTTCAGGCAATTCTCCTGCCTCAGCCTCCTGAGTAGCTGGGATTACAGGCACACGCCACCATGCCCAGCTAACTTTTTGTATTTTTAGTAGAGACGGGGTTTCACCATGTTGACCAGGACGGTCTCGATCTCTCGACCTCATGATCCACCCGCCTCGGCCTCCCAAAGTGCTGGGATTATAGGCATGAGCCACCACACCCGGCCCCGTTTTTTTCTTTTTTTAAGTAGGAGGTGCAGTGGCTCACCTGGCTCACTCTTGTAATCCCAGCACTTTGGGAGGCCAAGGAACGCAAATTGCTTGAGCCCAGCCTGGGAACCATGGTGAAACCCATCTCTACAAAAAATACAAAAATTAGTCAGCCATGGTGGTACGTACCTGTAGTCCCAGCTACTCAGGAGGCTGAGGTGGGAGGATGGCTTGAGCCGGGAAGGTCAAGCCTGTCCAATATTGAGGACTCCTGATATTTGCAAGTGAGCCCAAAGGTCTTTAACCTGTGAGTGAGCCACGATCATTTCACTGCACTCCAGCCTGGGCAACAGAGTGAGACCCTGTCACAAAAAAATTAAAAATAAAAAGTAGGAGTACATTCTAAAATAATGGTTAAAAATAATATAGCAAATATGTCGTGGACCGTCCGGACGGGTAGGCACATCTGCCCGGGGGTCTCTCAACCTGCAAGAGGGTCCCAATACCTGGAAGAGGGAGTGCGCCTGAGAAAATAATAAAGACAGAGAGAGAGAAAGCGAGGCGTCTGGAGGGCTGGTAGGCTGTGCCTAAACAGCAAATTTTATTTTTCAAATGCCAGGAATAAATTCACTTTCTTGGCTCTGGTTTACGTCATAGCAAAAGGAATGTAAATGTATGCCTCACATGGCCTATACAATAGAGAAATCAGATACACAATGGTTGCAAGAGGAAATGCAAATGTATACCTTACATGGCCTATACAATTGAAAAGTCAGATACACAATCAGTGGTTGTAAAAAGTAACAGAATTTCCTGTAATCACAAAGCTTGTTTGCATCCAGACATTATTCCTCCTGGCTGCAGGTATCTCCGGTTTGATCTTGTTTTAGAACTGAGATGTGAAAAGGTTTTCTGGTTTTGCTAATCAGAATATCTCTTAACCGGATTCTCCTTTGTCTACTCCTAACTCAACTTAACTCAATTTCCCCATTCAGGAATCTCTGAGTCAGGAATCAAAGCCATCCCTTATGGTGGCATTTGCTTTGCAAATATCGACAGTTAAACCATTATCTAGGGTACAAGGCAGTCTGCTAAGTAAGGTTAAATCTTATTCTTAAAGAGTCATAAAAAGGTTAAAAGCAGGAACCGGTTGCTGGCAGGGGGTCACTCAGTCTAGCAGCAACGCATAGTTTTAGGCCCAAACAATATTGTGGTTGATATTAGAAACTGATCATTCATCTTTCTTCCTATATTTCCGGATAGCTCGACTGCCTCCAGTAGGAAACTGTGTTTGGGATCAAACTCACCGTATAGTGAGACTCACGCCTTTTAGGGGTCTCACACGGGAGTGTTCCCCACACAAATATATAAACCCAAAATATAGTCATGTATTATTATC